TAGCAGTCAAGTGCCTTAGGCAATAGAACAGAGTAAAACTGACCTATAAGAATTCCAAGGCTGTAATCATTATGCCACTCCTCGGAAGGAAGGTTGGGCAAGCCTACTTCCGTAGTGATACTGCCTCGGAAACCCAAGGAGGGGTCGCTATGAGTCGGGGTCGACTCGATGGCACATAACAGCAACAACAACAACAATCATTATGGAAGCATGCTGCCACATCTTTCTACCCCAAAGCAAGAGGCTGGTGGGTTCAAACCACCCAATTGTTGGTTAGCAGCCAAGTGCTTAACCACTGCGTGACCAGCGCTCCTTAATAACAAAATAATCCCCCAAAATGGTTATTTCCCAACCCAAAAGTTTCACAGGATTGCTTTTTTTCACATGTGGCAAATGGATATGATTGGAGAAGTTGGGTGATAGGAATTTTGGTTCAGATTAAGAAGTGCTCAGACTGTAAGTCTAAAGAAACTAAATGACCTACCTAATGTAACAACGTGAGTCACACTAGGATGTAGGTTCAAATCTTTTGGCTTACAAATTCTGACAATTATTCTTGTAGATGAACTGAAAATTTGTTATTTCCTTGTGGTATGCTTTTGTTTTAATGTTGTTGTTGTTGTTGTTTTTATGTACCGTTGAGTTCGACCCAACTCATAGTGACCCCTCCTTGGGTTTTCGAGGCAGTATCACTACGGAAGTAGATTGCCAAACCTTCGTTCCAAGGAATAGCTGGTGGGTTTGAACCACCAGCCTTCTGGTTAGCAGTCAAGTGCCTTAGGCACTATGCTACCAGAGCTCCCTTTGTTTTAATAGTAACATTAATTATGTTCATATTTAATATGAAATAATACATTTAAGAATATTTCCCCATGAATAAGATGGGGAAAAACTGCCAAAATGTTACAAGTATGTTGTTATTAGGTGGCACTGAATTGATTCTGACCCACAGTGACTCCATGTGGCTGAGTAGAACTGCCACTTCAGGTTTTCTAGGCTGTGATCTTCACAGAAGCACATCACTAGGCCTTTCTCCCATGGAGTGGGCTGGGTGAGTTTGAACCACCAACCTTTCTACCAGCAGCTGAACGCTTAAACATTTGCACCACTAGGGTTCCTTGTTTATGAGTGTAATGTCTGCATTTCCTCTAAATAGCAAACTCATATTTAAGGCAAAAGCACCCTGTGCTTGTGTCCCCCTGCTACCTGGACCTTCCTCTATTACTTAGAACCTATAAGCTCAATGGAGCTCCAGTGGTGTAGTGTCGAAGGCATGTGACTGCTAACCAGAAGGCTGGTGGTTCAAACCCACCAGCCACTCCTTGGAAGGAAGGTTGGGCAATCTACTTCTAGTGATACTGCCTCAGAAAGCCAAGGAGGGGTCGCTATGAGTTGGCCCTGACTTGACGGCAGTGAGTCTGTTTTTTGGTATAATATGCTCAATATTGTATCCATCCTTATCATTCCCTAAAATATTGTTTTTATTTTAAACATATCTTCAAGATACATCACAAAAGCTTTAGGTAAAAGTTTGATTTTAAAGTTGCCATAGCTAAAGATTCTTGACTCTTCCACAAGGAACAGGAATCTAGAACAAGGCTGCAAGGAGTGAGCCAGCAATTCCTGCTGCTTTTCCACAACTGAAATTCTGAAATGTTTGTTACTACACTAAGGTCATGCCCAAAACCCATTCTGTGTCCCCATCATGGTCTTTACTTTAATAGCAAGGACCTCATCTTTCTCCTAACATAGATTGAGATACAATACCAAGCACCATTATCAATGATAGGTTGAGGCAAAGACCAGGGAGTCTAAACTCTTCACCAGTTTCTGAGGATTAAACTCTCCAAAGGATGCTAAAAGCCACTCAATTTAATGAATCTTCCCTTATCAGTTTAAACTTTATGAATACTTAATTAAACATACGTGATTTATGCATCACTTATACTTTTATCCTCATATACATAAGTTTAAAGCTATCTTTGCTTTTTTTTGAGGGATTATTGATTCACTTGCCTTTTTCCCCACATTACTGTATACTCTTACCTTTAGTGTTTCCATACTCAGAATCTTAGGCTTTGACTCTTACTGTTTCTTTATTTTAATAACATACCACATTTGAAAATCTGGTTATGTCAGTGGTCCTAGTTCTCATTATTCAAGTTTTTCATTAAACTTCTTCAAAATTCTTAGAAATTTGCTCAGTTGTGACTGTCATATTATCAAAACTAAAGACTTCTTGATTATGACCATTAATGTGTTTCATCCTTAGTCTCTGGCCTATCTATAATTTACCTACACAATGAAGGAGGCCCAATTCTGGTGTTTTGTTTTTGTTTTCTGTTTTAAATTAAACATCATCCTTTAATCATCCTTAATTTAATTTTGGTCTCCTCCCTGTGTCCTCTGGATGGTGCATTCCTGGAGAGTTGAGACCATCTTCTGTATATCACAGGTCTGCAGGTAGTAGGTGCTCACTTAGCACATGTCAGGCAGACAAAAAACTTCACTCTGTCCCCTCCTGATATTAGAGCTGCAGAGAAATACAAGGGATGTGGACAGGGATATCACAAGAGTTCATCCCAGAGGAGACTTAATGCTGGTGGTTGTGGGGGATGGGGTGGCTAGAGAGAGGCTTGGACTCTGAGTGCTGAGGACTTTGGAGTCCTCCTATTTCTCTTAAGGTCATTGTACCTGTTTATTTATTTATTTATTTAACTTTTAATGTAATTTGAATGCAAATATGGTAGTATACATGTTTTAAGATAATAATAATAAAAAAACCTTGGAAATTAGATTTTTCTCCTCTTTAATGAATGAATTGTTTCCTGGGTACTTTGGGTTCTGCTTTAATAAATTTGAGGAAATACAGCTTTCATTTCTGAAATATTTTTGTGCAATATAACAAAGCATAAGCAGAGAGACGTACCTTGTTAAAAATCTCTCTTAGGAGTATAGTAGTCTAATGAGTGAGGCTGAGGAAATGAAATCATTGGTCTCCAAATGTTTCCTTGCATTTGAAAACAATGAAAGATATAATTCCTGTTTTTCTCTTCCTTATACAACAAACAGCTCTGCTACCCTTGGCTTCACTGCCTTAAGAACTTAAACCACCTCCTGCCCTAGAAAGTTCCTTTGCCTCAAATAAGATACTTATTTTATTATTATTATATATTTTTTTTTCTTTCAAATTTGCCCTTGTTTAAATACTAAGGAATCCTGCTAGGTTTTCTGATAAGTCTGAGATTATAAATTACTGATGAGGAAAAAGGGTCTCAAATGACTTCAATGTACCCCTAGGCTGGTGCTCCTGAGAAAATATTTCAAAAGAAATCGACACATACCACTCTACAGCTGTGGAACAGCACACTGACATTTTCCTTTGACAGACCCATTCCCTTTCAAGTCAGAGTTCTCTTACCTTCCTTGTACCTTTATGTCTGAGATGGCGTAAAAGTAGCGTGCCAAATGTTGTTCATCTACAAATATTTCCCCGATGGCTGGTCTCAAAAGCCTTATCCTCAGGTCTGTGACTGTAAAGAAATCTCTGAGTTTCTTGGTTGTATCCAGCTGTCCATAAAGGGAAGCCATATTGCGTAGCCGAGGTCCAGCAAAAAATGCAAACCTGTCTTTGATTTCAAAGTTGATTATTTTACTATTTGTCATATACCCCGTGGAGTACTCTTCTGTGCAAATAATTTCTAAGACCGTGTGCTGTGATAAATCCTTCACAGATTTAGGATCCATGTGAAAAGCATCTAAGCAGTCTGTGGCATAATACTGATAGGGCTGCCATGTTCGTCCGTAATCCAGAGATTTCTCCAGGATCATTTGGTCTGGACGTCCAGATTCAAAAGTAATAATTATGTTGTCTGTGAGCTCAATGGTTTTGCTCCAAGACAGAGTGATGTTAACCTGGAGAGGCTTGGGATACTCCTTCCAAGTAGCAGACTGCCAAAATGTGGAGGGGTGTCTTCCTTCAAAATCAAACATCAGCTCAGGGGGATGTGCCAGCTCAGGGGTACTTGCATCACACTCATTATTGCACATGTAGGGGTTGCCCTATGGAAGAAGAACAAAAGAGGGTGCATCAAAACACTAGTTTGACACAAGTCTTGCCAGATTGCTATTGCTGAGTAAGAAACTAGGAAGGAAGAAGAAGAAGAAAAAAGCCTGCTTGCAGTAATTATTTTTTATTTGCCCTAACTGGATTCTCCTCTTTAATAGCTTAAAAAAAAAAAAAAAGGAATATGGCATTTTCTTTGTTCCCTTGTTTTGTTTCCTTTCAAAGACTTCAAGACATGAAAACAGTTTATTTATCCCATATATGCTAGACCTATAATGTGGTCACAGAAACACAAAGGCACTGCCTAATAGCTCAATACCTCTGCTTCCTCTTAGAAAGATTCTATGGAAAAGCTGAGGAAATTCCTCTCTGCCTCAAGGACAGTCCTCAAGAGCACGATTCTTTCAAAAGTCATTTTTCAAGCCAAACATTAGAATTAGCAATGAACTGTACATACCTGTGTCCTGTTTAAGAAGCAATACCCCCATACAACATTCAGCTTCTCCTCAGTTCACCTCAAATCCATCATACTTAACTGGGTCTCTGCTTCATAAAGTCTGCTTTTAAAGCATTTACTTTGTTCACCACAAATCATTAAAATATGGTATGCTACAGGCTCTGGGGCTTGGTCCAAACATCTGCCAACCTATTAGCTAGAGACAAGGGGATTGCTCAGGAAAAACTGGGTAGGGGGATGGGGGGCAGTGTGCTTCAAGTTATCAATAAAGGAAAACCCACTATTCAATTAGGGGAGTGTTGCAAAGAACCACAGCCACTTGATTTATTACTTTGTGCTCGGCCCACATCCATAGATGTTAGTCATTATTATTATTCTCCCTTTCACAAAGGCTACTTCCTTTACCTGCTACTCAAAAAAGAAGTTGGAAATCAAATCTCTTTGCTGTATCACAAGTCATACCACCACTTATACTACACTAAAGGACCGCTCTCAGCTTTCATCAGTAGATTGTGGGGCAAACGAGTGGTTCCCAGAGTTTTGTGTATTTTGTTTTTAAGGAAACAAGTGGTTTCATTTGGAGTCAGTTGTTCGTGTATTTCACTAGGTAACTATGACATGGATGGGTGCAAGAATAGGTCCTCTGACCCTCGGCCCTTAGGCTTTCTCTTGAAATTACACTTACATTAGTTTTTTGTTTGTTTGTTTGCTTGTTTTTCCTTTATCATGAGCTGAGAGTTTTTCATCATAATTGCAATATGCATGAAGTGGATCTCAAATAATAAATTTACCTTGGACGCTGACACTCAGTCACTGGTTGACTCCTGTGAAATGTAACACGATGACCATCTGAGCATTACTTTGGCCTCCCTAGGGGCAACTTGCTCCTACCTAGTCAGCTAATACTTTTCCTCTCTCCCTTCCATTAATGCAACTGAATCCTGATGCTGGCAACAAGTTGGGGGACTCAAATATAATTGAGATGGGGTAGGAGAAAGGAGAGAAGGTACATTATTTGAGAGAGAGAGCTGTTTTAAAAATATAACCAAGGCATCAGTGATAATGGAAATGTTTCTGCACTTTTTCTCTCAAATTTCAATTCCGTATTCCTGATCCCAGCGTCTGTGTCACTATTTATAGCATCCTCTCCAAAACAAGCCAGGGGAGGAGGGGGGATAAGTTTCTGTTCCAGGTGGAATAAATCACAAAATTTATTATTATTTAAACTCTCTTAAGCATACCAGGAAGCCAAGTGCAAAGCTCTGCAAACTGGCAAAGGCTTTTTATGGAGGGCTATAAATATTGTGGAATCTGTCAGGATTTATAAATTCTAAATATATGTAAATGCATACTTTACTGGAAGGGGTCAGATGTACACAAATCACACCTTAATTTGAAATTTACCGAAAAAATATGGTCACTTCAAAATCTGTCAGCATGGAACCATCTGCACTATCATTAACTGGGATGCTACTACCTTCCTCCTGACAAAAGCGTCTTCATCTGAGGTCAGGGGTATCAACTCAGCAGGATACATCAAAGTCAGTTATTAGACATTTGTATTAAGGGCTGCTGAAAGATAGCATTTGTTCGCTTTCAGCAGAGGTGTAAAAAGTGTCTCAGATGGAGACAGGGAGCTAGAATGAGGAAGAGGAAGACCAGGATGATTCCAGAAATGGTCGGTTATGGTTTGAATTGTGTCCCTTCAAAACATGTTAGTATCATGACCTCTATACCTGTGGATAAGGAGCTCTGTTGGAACAGTGGGTAAGACATTAGGCTGCTAACCAAAAGATTGGTGATTTGAACCCACCAGCTGCTCCATAGGAGAAAGATGAGGCAGTCTGCTTCTTTAAAGATTTATAGCCTTTGACCTTCTATGGGGTAGTTCTATGCCATCCCGTAGAGTGGCTATGAGTTGGAATGGACTCGATGGCAGTGGGTTTGGTTTGGGTTTGGTATACCTGTAGATGCAATCCTGTCTGGAAATTAGTTTTTTCCCTTTGTTATCAGTGTAGAGTTTGCCCCAAATCTAATCACTTCTGCATCATAAAGAGAGCAGATTAGGCACAAAGCCTGGCACAAAAGAGGGAAGACAAACTCCATGTGAGAATCCTGTGCAAACCAAGGAACCAAGGACTGCCCAGTGCTACTGACAAGGAAGAAGGTGACACTACTAAAACTGTCATTTGGATTTGAGTTTACAGAGCTGTGAGAAAATACATTTCTATGATTTAAAACCATCCATTTACAGTATTTCTGTTATAGCAAAACTAGGAAACTAAGAGAGGGTCACTACTAACAAACTTCTGTCTTAGAAAATATGCTAGAAAAGACCTATCTAAAAGGCTGTCATTCCTACATTCAGTAAGGGTGTTGATAATAATCACTATTTATTATTTATTATGTGCCAGATACACATTAAGGAGTTCTGGTGGCACAGTGCACATGGCTTTTGACTGCTAACCAGAAGGTCAGTAGTTCAAACTTACCAGCTGCTCTGAAAAAGGAAGATGGGTCAATCTACTTCCATAAAGATTTGTAGCCTTAGAAACCTGATGGGATCGCTATAAGTCAGAATTAACTCAATGGCAGTGTTTTTTTTTTTTTTTTTTTGGCTTAGACATATGACTATCATGGGTAATCTTTACAATACTCCTGCAAGGTACATATTGCCATCCTAACCTTACAGAATAGGAATCGAGGCATATAGAAATATAAAGAAATTGACCCAAGGTTACATAAAGCAAATAAAAGGGAGAGCCAGGATGTCCTCTGCTCCAGTCTGTTTAACTCCAACATCAGTGGAATTCCCTAAGATGCAACCAGGTTGGCTGAGAGAAAAGAAGGGTCTAAGATCAAATAAGTATGTGAAACAAGCATTAACATCTCCTTGTTTGGAGAGTTTTTATGGGTATTACAATATGTCTGAGATGTCTTGAAGTTAAGAAGTTAAAAAATTTGCTAAGCTTCACATTATATCTAGTTATCCAAACGTACTTGACCATGGAGTCCCTTTTTGGTACAACCCATTGTTGTTGAGTTGATTCTGATTCATAGAAGCCCTAGAGATGTAGTGTAGAACTGCCCACAGGATTTCCAAGGCTGTAATCATCAAGGAAGAAATACAGTTAGAAGGCTCCTTGGAAGTGTAGATGGAAAGGCATTTTGTTCTTTTGTACATAGGATTGCTATGAGTAGCAACTGACTTAACAGCATTTAACAACAACGACAACTTTACTGAAGTTTACTGCCACATCTTTCTCCCACAGCATGTGTCTGGTAGGTTTGAGCCACTGACTTTTCAGTTAGCAGTCAGCACTTAACCAATGTGCCACCAAGGCTCCTTCTCTTTGGTTTGGTAGCCTTTAAAAGAGCTGAATAGAAGATTTCAAAGAGTAGCTTGAGAAGAGAAAGTCAATTATTATAATGAAATGTTCAAAGACCTAGAGTTAGAAAACCAAAAGGTAAGAACATGTTTGGCATCTCTCAAGATGAAAGAGCTGAAGAAAATTTCAAGCCTTGAGTTGCAATATTGAGGGATTCTATGGGCAAAACAATGAATCATTCAGGGAACATCAAAAGAAGATGGAATGAATACATAGAGTCACTGTACGAAAAAGAATTGGTACACCTATTCCAGGAGGTGGCATATGATCATGAACCAATGATATTAAAGGAAGAAGCTGCACTGAAAGAATTGGTGAAAAACAAGTTATAGGAATAGACAAAATACCCATTGAGATGTTTCAACAAAAGGATGTCATGCTGGTGGTACTTACTTGTCTATGTCAAGAAATTTGGAAAACAGCTACTTGGCCAAATGACTGAAAGAGATCCATATTTGTACCCATTCCAAAGAAAGGTGATCTCACAGAATGTAGAATTTGTTGAACATTAACATTAATATCACAAGCAAGTAAAATCTTGCTGAAGATAATTCAAAAATGGTTGTAGCAGTATATTGACAAGGTACTTTCAGAAATGAAAAGTGGATTCAGAAGAGGATCTGGATCAAGGGATATCATTGCTGATGTCAAATGGATCTTGGTTGAAAGCAAGGAATACTAGAAAGATACTTACTTGTGTCTCATCGACTATTTAAAAGCATTCAACTCTGGATCATAACAAATTATGGATAATTTTACAAGGAATGAGAATTCCAGAACACTTAATTGTGCTCATGAGGAAACTGTACATAGATAAGGAGCCTGTCATTCAAACAGAACGAGGGGATACTGCATGGTTTAAAATCAGGAAGGGAGTGTGTCAGGGTTGTATTCTTTCACCATACTTATTCAATCTATATGCTGAGCAAATAATCCAAAAAGCTGGACTATATGAAAAAGAACATGGCATCATTACTGGAGGAAGATTTACTAACAAACTGTGATATGCAGAAGACACAACCTTGCTTGCTGAAAGTGAAGAAGACTTGGAGCACTTACTGATGAAGATTACTTGGTCCCACAATCAACACCAATGGAAGAAGCAGTCAAGAAATTAGATGACATATCACACTGGGAAAATCTGTAGCCA